AAGTTTTTTTTAAGTGTTTTTTTTTTTTTTTTTTTTTTTTGTTATGTGGTTTATAGAGGCTGATCAGTCTGAGACTGAGCCCAAAAACTAACAACTCAAGTCAAAACTTTATAAAAATTTCAACCAAACTGAGCCCATTTCTGGTTCGAACAGAGCAGTGTGCGTGATCTTGGGCATGGCTGCTTTTTAATAACTTGACTGAGTGTCTCTGTGTTTTGTCATTTCAGTTGATGAGGAGGAACATCTAATTGTTGACTGGTTCACTCTTATTCAGGAAAAGCATTTACTGGTACGGAGAGAGGCTGAACTGGTCTACACGTAAGTACATTTTTTGCATACATTTAAAATGTTGTAACATTAATAACAACATACTATGTTGACATACTATTGCACAGTGGTTCTTAAACTGTGAGGCTTCCCTTGTGTATGGTATGGTATCCATTTGCATCCTCTCCAGAGAAAACGTATGATGGAAAATAATCTCAAACTTACATTTAAAATTGAATAACATCCCTATCATTAAAAAATGTTGGAACATCAGTTTATAGAGAGAATCTAGAGGCAGTCTTAATTTATTTAGAGAAGGGTGAGACTGTCTTTATATGCATGGACCTCTTTTTGGAAAAAAAAAAACTTTTATTTGCATGCCCTAGATGAATTAGGAGATATTGATTGAGTTTGCATGGTTTTAACATTTTATGCATTAGGCTCCTCTATTATTTAATTTAATTTAGTTTATTTTATTTTATTTTAGCTGAGAAAGCATGTCTTCTTTTCAAAACCTTTTCCATCTTAAATCCTCAAATGTTCTGTCAGAGTGTATCTATCCATATATCTGATGTCCCTGTTCAATTAATAGATTACAGCATTTGGTGCCAACGTTAGTTTCAGCGCACGGTTTATTTTTGCTGTGTGGATCACGCTGAAGTCGGCAGCTCTGACCGCTCTAGAAAATAAAAATGACACGAGACTAGAAATGACATGAAAGCAAATCAAAAACATTTGAAATCTGAATGCACACAACTTAAGCAACCAACACTCTGCTGGTTGGAGATTTATGTAAACCATTATGAAGTAAATTCGATCCTCATCCTCATGAACGTGATTCCATGACGATCAAGCTTGTAATAGTTCTCAGTTTCCTCCTACCAAAACCATTTGATAATTTTGAGCCATTATTAAAAACAATATTCAGCATAGTACCCCAGAAATTACATTAGAAGAAATGTAGTCAGGCTGAACACAGCTGTTCTGCTCACGCCATATTCATTCACTCATTCCCTACTGGGAGTATGCAGGATAGCAGTGAAATGTAGTCTGTTAGCAGACTTTGTTATATATATTTAGAATTATTATGCACACCAAATTTTTTACTCTGACATTATCATTTTATGTACATGTATCATTTAAATTTAAAATGTATAGTTTTTATGCAGCCACACTACTGCCAGATTGCTGCTCACAGTTTGAGAACCACTGCCATAGCAAGGTGCTAAAAGTTAACAGTCATGGCTCTTGCCAGTTCTTGTCCACAGAGCTGTCAATATGATAATAATAATAATATACTGTATGTCAGCCTGATAGTTTCAGGACCTCTGCACAGAACAATGGAGAACAGTTGGGTTTAAGTTAAATATGAAACAGGAAAAATCTCTGTCCGAGTTTTATCTGTATCTGGATTTTAGAGCCAAGCAGCAGAACCTGGAGGAGAGGCAGGCCGATGTAGAATATGAGCTTAGATGTTTACTTAACAAGCCAGGTATGAAACAACACAAAAGCGTTGTGAGTAAATCCTCCTCCTTTCTTTCAAATAACAGCCATTCTTTATTCAATCTCTCCTTTATCTCTCTCTTTCCCAATCGCTTACATCTCTGATAGAGAAAGAATGGACAGCTGAAGACAAAGACAGGGAAAAACAATTGATGGCAGATCTTGTCACTATAATTGAGCAGAGGAACAAGATTGTTAACAGCATAGATCTGGACAGACAGAGGTAATCAGTCAATGCAAATGCACTCTGCTTCATTCTGATCCTGAGCTCGAGTGTCTCTGCTAAGCAGTTTTTCTGTAAATTTGATATGAAATAGTAAGTAATTTTGTCATCAGTATCAAGTTTGCATGCTGTTTTTGAGGAGTTCATCAATTTCTGCTTTAGGGAGGAGGAGGAAGACAAACTAGTAGCTGCTATGCTAAAGAAAAAAGGTCAGTGTTATTTCTCTTTTCACTGACTCTCTCATTCCTCATTCATAATGATACATCTTGCTTTGATTCTTGTATTTCTTTTCAGAGTTCCATGGACCGGCTGATCAGAAGAAGAAAGCAGGGAAGTTTAAGCCCATGAAGGTTTTGAAGAGACTAAGCACCAAGAATGAAGGGGTAAAGGACAACAGTCCCCGAAAAGAGAACAGTTGAAGGGTAAACTTAGTGAAGGAAAGAGAAGCAAAAAAAAAAGGATGTACTACATGTCTAATTAACACTTTTGAATATATTGCTATAAAACAGTTATGTTAAATTTGCCTTTGAGGTAGTAGCAGCTGAACTGATATACTACTGCAGTTTATAAAATTAAAAAAAAAACTAAAATTAACACCGTCTTAGTCAGATGCAACAAAATTTTTGACTTAAAAAAAATCTTGAAAGGCTCAAGACAGAGGTAATCAGTCAATGCAAATGCACTCTGCTTCATTCTGATCCTGAGCTCGAGTGTCTCTGCTAAGCAGTTTTTCTGTAAATTTGATATGAAATAGTAAGTAATTTTGTCATCAGTATCAAGTTTGCATGCTGTTTTTGAGGAGTTCATCAATTTCTTCTTTAGGGAGGAGGAGGAAGACAAACTAGTAGCTGCTATGCTAAAGAAAAAAGGTCAGTGTTATTTCTCTTTTCACTGACTCTCTCATTCCTCATTCATAATGATACATCTTGCTTTGATTCTTGTATTTCTTTTCAGAGTTCCATGGACCGGCTGATCAGAAGAAGAAAGCAGGGAAGTTTAAGCCCATGAAGGTTTTGAAGAGACTAAGCACCAAGAATGAAGGGGTAAAGGACAACAGTCCCCGAAAAGAGAACAGTTGAAGGGTAAACTTAGTGAAGGAAAGAGAAGCAAAAAAAAAAAGGATGTACTACATGTCTAATTAACACTTTTGAATATATTGCTATAAAACAGTTATGTTAAATTTGCCTTTGAGGTAGTAGCAGCTGAACTGATATACTACTGCAGTTTATAAAATTAAAAAAAAACTAAAATTAACACCGTCTTAGTCAGATGCAACAAAATTTTTGACTTAAAAAAATCTTGAAAGGCTCAACCAATATATAATCTTACTTTAATCTCGACATTTTTAAGTAAAAGAAAACTGATACTGAATGTGATTGACATTACATTGAGAGTCCTAAATTACCCTGACAAAGTTTAACACATACCTTTCTTTTAAACTCATCGTTACAGTCATAGGAAGCTCAACAGGAAGCCCATTAGATGGTATGACTTTAATTTTTGCAAAACATAATTTAATCTTGTTCTCTGAGTTTATATTTATTTATGAATACTGCTTCTTGTGTTTGTGTCCATATTGAAGAGAAAAAGAACTTGCAGTGAAAGTCTTCATGCCCCATCCAGGCCTTTCATCTGATTAATTAAAGAAGCGTTGTTGAGATGAATGGAGAAATGAATTACCAGACTTGCAGTTTAAAATATTGTTGAGGGAGAGTGAAGCATTTCCATCTCATGAATGCTTTTGTGATTTATGAGTAACAGGGATTTGTTGATTTTTGTCTGCCTGGGTTTGGTTGCACCAGCTGTGTTTAATAAAAAAAAAAAAAGGTTTTAAATGGATGTTAAGTTACAAATTACGCAGTATTAAATATTTGAGAGTTGCACCATTAAACTTAGTTCAAACATAACTGTACATATAAATATATACTAAAAAGCCTCCGACCATGAGTACCGACTGGAACATAGCAGATTTTTAAACTGCATCCATAAGCTCATGTTTTACCTGACAGAATACAGTGCTTTAGACAAGTTTGTTTGTGTTGACATTTACACTCGTTTACATTTTAAAAAAGAGAATGAAATGTGAATAACTGACTTGCAGCTCTCCAGCACGAAACCAGATCTAAACAGCACACCTCTGTGTGCATCGTTCTGTGCCAAAAAAAAAATCTAAATGTCATTTGTTTTTGTTGCACCAGTATTTATTTATTGCTTTTTATTTACGTTACTTATAATGTTATTTACAGAGTAGTGTTAGAAACATAAATTTAGCACTAGTTACATGAGGCAAAAGAAGTTAGAATTAACCTTAAGAGGTTAAACTGAAAATCGCACTTTTGTTCATGAATTTGAAAGCTGATGTTGAATAATTGAAGATAATTTTCTTATTATGCAACAATGCATTACCTTCATCAGATAGCTTACGATTTACTAGTGTGGACTTTATGTTCCAGTTTAAGCAAGATTTTATGAACGGCTGGTGCAACCCTACTCTGGACAACATTTTAATATACACATTCATTTTAATATGATTAACATTGATTAATACACTGCCTGGCCAAAAAATCACATACTCTTTTGTTGAACCACCGCTTTGATTACAGTGTGCATTCGTCGAGGCATTGTTTGCAACATCCCAACATTTTTGCATTAATTTTTGGCAGAGATCATGTATTGACAATAGGAAAGTCAAACCAGTCTGTAAAGTCTACTCCAGCACAGTGAGGTTAAGGTCGAGATTCTGTGGTGGCCAATTCATGTGTGAAAATGATGCCTCATGCTCCCTGAATCATTGTGGAATATGGCCATTGGATACATCATCTGACATATTTAAGAAATGAAAAGCTACACACTGTATCAGTTAGGGTTAAAATAATTTTTGTCAAATATAACATGCCAGAAACTGTTAATCCTGCAATTACAATGATCCAGTCCAACTCTTAAGTATTTGCTTATTTAAATCTAAACAGCTTTTTTTTTTTTTGGCCCAGGCAATGTATTTAAATATAATTAATATTTCGTAGACTAATTCATACAAAAAAATGATACGTTTGAAAATATTGTTAAATGATATTGTTTAACCCTATGATGAGAAATATTATGTTTTTTACTGACAGGGTATTAGTTCATAGCATAACTTAATACTAGCAAAAGCTGATTATGCTTTGGATTTCAGTATGAATTTTAGGTTAACCTACCTAAAAGTGTAAGAAACCATCATTAAAGTAACCAGACAGCTGTGCACCCTGAAGAATCAGTGACAGATGAACATTAAAATGAGAGATAACAATAAAATGAGTCTAAACCCTTTTAATAAAAGAACAAAAAAAAAAAAACTTTAAAGCCCCAAGTATACTTCGTTTTTGTACGCATACAGTCGAACGCATAGCCTTTCGAAGTATACTAGTTGTGCGCGAACGAGGGTGGTCGACACATGCACTATTGAAAGCTTCATCCATATCTAGTGTCTGCTCAATTTTTTCCCTTATAGGTTATGCCCGATAACAAATGTTTTTTAACTCTTTTAAACCAAAGCTATCTCATACCCTCTCGCTCACAAGCTCTTGTCAATGCAGCCGTCGGTTGTTTGCAGTCTCCGCTATTTTGCTGCTGTTGTTCCATCTCTTTAGTTTCGTTTTCTACTGTGAAACAACGGCCCGGTGTTCTAACGATTTGTGCTACCCTGTCAGATTTTGCTACCTCCCATTAAAACAGTAGGTAACACAATGTGACAACAAAAACTACCCATCAGATTATGCTTTATTAACGCCTACACCTACCCCGACCCTAAACCTACCTTTACAGTAATGCAAATACAGTAATTATGTTTTGTTCAGCGTGAGAAAATTGACGGAATATTGATGTGCACATGCGCAGTAAGCCCTGGTAGGATGAAATGTCAGGACACCTGGACAGTGTTGCCACCTCTGATTACTGCAAAAATAATTCAAAGCGCATGTGCGACCTGCGCGTACAAAGTACGCGAGGTTACAAAAATAGGGTGGTGCGTGTACTATTCTGATGACGAAATTCGCGTCACGCGCACTGTACGCTGTCCCTCGCGTACGCGTAAAAAGTGAAGTATACTTTGGGCTTAACTGTAACAACAGACACACACTCACTCACAAAATATTAACTGTAAGGTTTTTAATGTTAAGCAATAATAAATGTTCCTCACACTTTAGATACTCTGGCAGGAAGATTATGCAATGTTACGTTTTAATTTAAAAATGGGTTATTTTCACTGTAGAATGTCAAATGTTATGTGTTGGGCCTTAATATCTGTAAACCCAAGCAGGAGTGTATTTCTGAGGGAGTGCCTATAATCTGTTGAATTTATGCATATGTCCTTGCATTGACTGTCAAGTGTCTTTGAATATTTTGTTGACATTTCAGTTTGTGTGTCTTCAAGTATTTGGGTGTTTATTTGTATTGATCAGATTTCAGTATTGTGCTTGTTTCGTCAGAGTGTATGTGTGCCTGATCAACTCCAAGGACTTTGTTTTCTCTGAAATGGTCTGTGCTTTTAGGATGGAGGATATCAAATATAAAACCACTTAATAAAAGAAAACCTTCAGAAGTTTTGACTTTTTTTGAAAGTATATTTTAGTACTCAAACATGTCTAACACTTATATTTTCACCCTCTCTTTCTCTATCCCTCACTTTGCTTTGTCCCTTTTTTCCATTTAGCTTGAGTGTGCTAGTTCTTCAATGTGTTTCCTGTCGATGTCTTCAAGTTCAGATTTTCTGTTAGAAAATATCAGACAGTTAACAGCAGGTCTCACTGCATCTACCAGATAGTTTAGAACAAAGTAGCTTTGATTTAAGACTAAAGCCGGGTACACACTGCATGATTTTAGCTCCAATTTTTATTCGCCGACAGCTTTGTGGAAATCGCATTATGATTGGTGATGTGGCATGATAGTATTGGCCCTATGTGTCAGCTTATGTGTTTGTATATTCTCCTGGGAAATCTCTGTGTTGAGGTATTGGTGACCTTTTCCCAGTGCTATCATGTCCTCTAAAAACTGCTCTAGGAACAACAACATTTAGGTACTGCCTGTCTCACCATCTTGGAATCGGTCTATCTGTTGCTCTCTTCTCTCTGTGGAGTCTCTTTGGGAGTGAGTTGGCCCAACATCCTTTTGACCAGTAGAAAGAAGATTTTGTAGTTGTCTTTTCTTTCTCTAGATTCCCTATAAAAGAGTGAAGAATCAGTAGAGGTGGATAGAAAAGTCTTTCCAGTTAGCTTGTAAACACTTGCATAAAACACACGTTAGAGATATATATATAATATACTGTATTATAAAACAAAGACTGTTATTTTCTATATAGTTCTTATATAGGGGTGAATATGGGTAGTATTCATATGAATTTCCTTAAATGGTTAAAAGTCATTACTACATACGTCTTTGGGAAGTATTTTGTTACATTACTAGGTTCCTACATTAATGATCTTCCACTGAGATTCTGTGGCACATAGATATGTATAGGTAGATTCTGCATTCGACCGCTCCAGACACGTCCGCCATCTTGGAATGGTGAATGTGTCGTCACTCACAATAAAAATCAAGATGCCACAACATTGCGCAACCTTTTGGTTGTAAAACCTGCCGAAATTTAAATTCCTGAAGAATTGGATAAA